GTGCGAACCTGATTCCCAAGTCATTGTTGGCCTTGTCTTGTTCTCATTGGAGTTTCAACGTGGCGCCAGTCCAAGGCTTGATTCACGCGGAGCAGGCCAGACGCTGGCGGTGCGCTGCTGCTGTTCTCTGTAGTGTCGGCTGGCGCGTGGATCCTCAATTGTTCAACATCCACGACCTACATACCCTTTGTGACTACCAGGCCGCTCAAACGGCCACCGCTCAAGCTGCACCTACGAATTGAAATATTTGAAGCTTGTGGTGGGCTTGTGGATCGCTATGCAAACAGAGAATGAGCAGAAGAGGCTCTGCGACGCTTTGGTTGCGGTCCTTCTCAGGGTCGACTGGCGCGCACAGCTTGAGATGTTTGAGGCGCTTGCGTTTGACGATCTGCGGTCTATTATCAGCAGGTGACAAACCCAAAACCCAAGCGAGAGACTAGCAAACGCTTTTCGAGACCATCACCCGTGACTTTTGATCATACGGCTAAAATCGAGCAAGCCGAGCCTGAGGCTTGCATGTCAATGCAGTTCGCACTGGCGGAAATGAGCGTCAGGCTTTTGCGGTGCAGGGCTAAGAATCAGCTCAAACTTGCGCCCTGCAAGGACATATGCGAGAAAATTCAGCCTCAACCGCCTCGAGGACCATGTTGGCGCACGCTTCAGGCAGGGGTGGTGGCGGTGCTTATCTAATCAGCTGGCTTTTCATTGTCTGCTCTTTGCTCATGATGGTGGTGATGGCTCACATGCACAACCATGGTGGTGGTGGTGCAAGCACCTGTGTTGCTGCCCTTTCCTGCTGCGGACCGAACAAGATGGCAATCGTGGACCGCATCCAAAGTTCTGCTTCAAAACCTTTGCTGACAAGCTTGTTCATAACTTTAAAACTTTGAAACTTTAAGAATTTACCTGTACATCAAAGGAACAAAAATTTTTTTTGCGTCAACAATCATAAAACTTTAAATGGTGGTGTGAACAAAATTTACATGTTAATGTTCTTTCCACTGGCTCTTCTTTGTTTTTTTTTTACGCGCCTGAGGACGGCGCCTGGGGCTCTGAGGCGCAGAAGGCAGGCAAATGCAGTCCTGAAGAAGCAGCTCGGCCACGTGACACACCAGTTGCATGCACTCATGTGCTGGCGAGGCGGAAGAATTACGTCAAAATGATAAACTGGTACGCACTGCCACTCAAGAATCCATGTATGCTTTTCCAGCGAGAGGCGCCAAGTTGCTCACCCAGGCGCGCGGCACGTTACGATAGGATCAAGGAGATATGCGCACTGAGGCTCTTGTCAAAGCGCTGAGCGCATTTTCAAAACGTGTTATGAGAAACATTGAGCACGTTGGGTGCGTTCTAATGTCAAGACGTGGCATGGAGGCTACCATGCTCCCTGGCGAATGCTGCTTTGCGCCGTGCGTCCCTTGCTTGAGACAGCCGAGGCCAAAGCAGCTGCACCTTGAGTTCCGAAGAGCTCAGAGCCGACGGGACGGCCTCTGGCACGTCATGAAAAATGTGTGGGCCTGTATGACTTGATTGCAAGACAGGTTGACGGTGAGTGAGGCCTCGTGAGGACATTGCCCATTACCAAACGCCGTCCCGAAGCGCTTTGGTTAATTTTGTTGCCAGGGGTGGGTCCCTAGGCCATTTTTCAGGATCGGCTGATGGCAGGCTAATGTCATAGCTTGTGCTTGTCAACGACTTGCATCTGTGCTGCTTTGATCAAGCAGTGGCAGCTTAAAACTTTTGCAAAGGTGTGCGCTGCCGCTTGAGCTGACCGTGCGCGCCCTTTAAGACTTGTTGCGCTTTTAAATGCTGACCACGCGTGCGCCTCTGTGACAGCCAGACAAGGACCAAGCGACAAAACATGAGGATGCTGTACAGTGTCAAGCAAACACGCGCGATGAATTTCTCGAGATGCTTGCCTGGGATGCTGCCGTATTTAGGTACGCTCTGCCGTTCCAAGCGCTGGTCCGGGCTTGGCTTTGCTGGACGGGCTTCTTCTCATGGCGGGACTTGGTCATGGCAGCACTTTTGCATGGTCCATCTGCAGCTACTCAGAAGCTCGGACGGCATGGCAGACGCATTTTTGCGCCGCTTGTGACGGTGTATAAAGTGTGTCTGTGGCCTTGTTGAGGTAGGCTCTGCCGTTTGAGCTAGTGGGACCTGCCAGTCCTGGGTGAGGCCATTGAGGTGCTTTTCTGCTGAGACACTCGGGTACGAAGGATCATAAATTGCTCAGCCTCACATGTGCGATTTAAAACACAGTCATGTTGCTTTCAGCGGGATATCATGGATATCAGACGACGTTTCGAGCCAGGCGCTGCCCTGTGAGCCTGTGGGCGTGCGCGTGCCGTGCCGAGCCTGGATGAGGCCTTGGGGGTCCTCAACTGTTGTGCTTGGCTGCGAATGAACACGGGCTATTCAGGCGCACATGCTTTGCAAAGGAACACGTCACGGTGCCTCGTGCGTGAGTGTATGGAAGTTTGATGCCGTTGGGAGGTAGGCGCTGCCGTGGGAGCCCGTCGGGCCATGCTTAGCTCTACGGGTCAATGCGGGCTGCCGTTTATCAAGGTAGCCCGTGAAGCGCAAATTGGTTTAAGCCGGAACGGAGGTAGGTGGCTCATGATGTAGTTTGTGTAGCACAGATGGGCCGCGTGTGAAACTGGACTTGGCAAGCATTACAGGACTGAGGGCAGCACACAGGTATGTACAATGTCCATTACCGATCTTCACAAGGCCAACCAAGCTGCCATTGCTCCCGAAAGCAAAAAGATCGTTCACTTATTCTCGCCCTGAATTCGGCTTGATCTGATGAACGTGTTTCATTGTCCAGGCGAAGTTGCGCATACGAATTTGAACGCGGATGCCACCTGCCTCACCCTCAACTCTTCAAGCTTTCCACCTTTCACGCCAATGTGGATGCTGCCCATCCTTCGCGCCGATACCACGGCTGGGTCAACACAACGCCAACCTCCCCATTTTCAACGCTTCTTCGACCAGCTCGCTGCCCAGTCCGCTTCGCCTGCCATCAGCATTTGCCGCCTCCACCTCACCCACGCTTCCTGCAACGACATTACGGGCCTCTACTATGCGCTTGGCAGCCTCTTTAACGATCGCTCCCAGCTCAAAGACCTCTGGGGCTTGACTTTTATCACGGGGCTGCCCAAGTGTGAGGGCTGCGACGCCATCTTGGTGGTTGTGGACCACCTGACACGCATGGTGATGACCAGAGCTACGAAGAAAGCTATCAACGCTCTCGATACAGCTCGCCTGATTTTGGAGATGATGTTGCCGATGGGCGGCATGCCTTTGAGCATCGTCTCTGACCGTGATACCCGTTTTGTTGCCAGCATCTTTCAGAAGATGTGCAAAGCATTTGGAACCAACCTCGACTTCTCGACGGCTCACCATCCACAGACAGATGGACTGACTGAGCGATACAACAGAGTTCTGATCGAGTGCCTCCGCACCGGCGCGGAGACCGACCGCGACAACTGGGTCCAGATGCTTCCCATGGCTACCTATGCCATCAACAGCACCACGCACAAGGTCACGCGCCTGACGCCACTGTTTGCGGCGACTGGGCGGCATCCAGTGACACCGTCATCCCTTTTAGTTCAGCCTAAGGCGGCAGCCTTTGGCGACGACGATGCAGACTCGGAACTTCGGCGCCTCCAGAACATTTGGCAATACGTTGCGGATGTGACGGCCCTCGGCCAGGAAGAGGCGGCTGAACGTTATGACCGGAAGGTCAACATGGTGGAGTTCAAGCCCGGCGACTGGGTGGTGGTCTCCATCAAGGCGGTGCGGTCGCCCACAGATCGTGCCACACACTCCTCGAAATTGGGCGCCCGTTGCATTGGGCCATTCAAGGTACTCGAGCGCGTGAGCTCGAATGCATATCGACTTGAGCTGCCGAACGACGTTCGCGCCCATCCAGTTATCAACCTCGAGCATCTACGCCGTTACCAGCTTCCGGCAAACGCAGCGGAGGACTTCCGTCTTGCTCCAATTTTTCGTGACTCGTATGGCGAGTACTATCTAGTCGAGACTTTGCTCGACAAGCGCACTGTACGGCCCAAGGGCCGTGCGGGCCGTCCTCGTATCGAGTATCTCGTCAAGTGGATGGGTTACTCGAAGGAGGAGGCGACCTGGGAACGGTCAAGTGTAACCCCATTTTGCGTGCTTGCATGAATCATGAAACTTGCATTTTTTTTTTCTCTCATCCTTGTTTCCCTTTTTGTTCTCAGCGTGCCTTCGCCATTTCTTCCGTTTGTCTTTGAACCATCCTCGCCGGATCGGGGCTCCGGCTGGCGAGGGGGGGGGGGAGGTGTTAGCGTCAAATCCGTGCTTCCACGCATTTGAACACTCCCACTGCTTTCGCACACACTCAGCGTCCGTCACGATGGGTCTTCCTATCGGTATCCCATAGCTGCTACGACTTCACACACATTGACACCTACACTTGGACCCCCCGGGCCTGATCCTCCTCGTGGGAGTCATATGAGTAACACCGCGTGTGTCGCGGTCCCCACGATGCCTGGGCAGCTGCCCTGGGGCAATGAGCTTGTGACTACTGTTGTTTCCCTTTGTGGTGGCACCTGCGGTCGGGCACGAGTTGCACTTTTCCTATCCTCGAAATTGAGCGACTCTACAGCTATTCTAACGGTGCACCTGGTCTGGTCACTGTGAATGCTTGCCGACCGCAGGTACGTCAAGCCCCCTGCCATTCTGTCTCCCCTTTGCTCTCCTGTGTGCTCTGCTCTCTTGTGTCTTTTCCTATCCTCGGGATTGAGCGACTCTACAGCTATTCTAACGGTGCACCTGGTCTGGACACTGTGAATGCTTGCCGACCGCAGCTGGTTCAATTGACCTCAAGACACCACCAAAGCTTTCGCTCCGTTCCGCCGGACGTCTCTGAAACCTCTCTCAAAACGCTTCCTCAAACCTACGCGCTTCCTCGCAACCCAAAAACGGCCTCCAGACGTGCTGGAGCCTGAGAAATGCGCCGATCTCGGAAACAAGGCAATCGCCTGGCACCATTCTGGACCATCGCCTTGGTTGCCCTCGTCCTGGGTGCCCACCATGGCGCTTCAACAGAGACCGTCCTCCTGTGGGACAGCCGCGACGACAGTGTGGGTGGTGGCGCCAGCTTTTTTCTGTCGAACGCCAAGGACGACCCCGTCGGCTGCCAGCCTCAGCTTGACACCTTCACCTCTTACAACGACTCCCCCGCTTTGCCCCCGACCGAACCTTGCGGTATGCTGGCCCCCGCCCTTCTTGACCCCGTCCCCTACTTTGACGATCCAGCCAGCTTTCTCTTCTTTGCTGGCCGCTCTCGTGAAAGCAACAAGCGCTCGGTGACCCTCCCTCCCGATCTTGCCGCCGGCGTCGTATCCCTCGACATCATCCTGCGCATGGATAGCACCAACTGGATGAGCCTCGGTGGTTCGTGTGATCAAAACATTCGAGCCCTCCTCACCGTTGGTCGTGATTCCCTCCGCGACAAACAAGCCGGCCTCGTGGTGTCGGGTGATGGCGCCTGCTGGGACAAAATCGCAAGCTCCGGTTTTGGCTCCGACGTGGCCCTCGCCGTTAGCACCCGCCCCCTCGCCGCCCCCAACACCACGGAAATGGCTTTGACCCTGCACTGGGCCCTCGATCTAACCGACCTCTCAACCCTCGACTTTCGCATCGGCGGCTCCGTCACACTTGCGGAAAACAGCTCCATCGCCATGGGCAACCTTCGCTTGTACGGCTGCTTCAACGCCGACAAAGGTCCGCCCCTTTCCCCTCCCACCTCCATCCATGAGCTTTTTACTCTCAACAATATTGTGTGTGTGGTGGTTGTGGATGCGTGAGTATACCCTGTTTTTGCGCGTGCTCATATCTGGCTCCGTACGGGTTTGCAGAGGCCTGCGGCGATGCGCTCCCGTTGAGTGTGCCCGTGCCCATCACCACTACCACCACTTCATCCACCTCGACAACCACCACGACAACCACCACCACGACCTCGACCACCTCGACAACCACAACGACAACCACCACAACAACCTCGACCACCTCGACCACCTCGACCACCACCACCAGCACCACATCAACCTCAAGCACCGTATCAACAACCAGCACGTCGCTGGCCACGTCCACACCCCGACGCTTCGCTAGCCCCCCGACCGCTCCATCGTCCATGGCCTCCTCTTCCAAAAAAACGGACCTTGGTTTGATGCTCATTGCCCATCGACGGCGGCGCGCTGAGCGCCGGACCAACCCCTCTTATACCCCAGACGTACCCGATGAATACCTATGCCAAAACCCGCTGTACGGTCAGCAGCACGGGCCAGAGCCAGATCCCGACGTCCTGCCCCCCGACTATGGCGTGGCCAGAGATATCGGACCTACATCCTCAAAACCTCGTCCTGCAGGCTACAACCAAGCCACGCTCACCCTCCCGCCCGGACCTGACATTGGCAACTATGAAGCCATGCCCTGCGACGGTCCTGCCTTTGCAACCCACGACACGATCGGCCCCGGTTCCGCCGCGAGCCCCCACGTTGTGGTGCACGGCGACATGGGTCGGCAGGAAGCCGAGTCTTTGCTGGTGCAAGAGGGACGCCCGGATGGACATGCCTTCTTGCTACGACGGCGGCCGGACGGCTCCCTTGCCATGACCGTGGCACATGCCGGGCGCCCTCGCCACCATCTGCTTCGGTGGAGCCCGGACGATCAAGGCTGGTTCGTCAACGACACTCTAGTCGCGCCCTGCGCCAGACTCGACCAACTCATAGCTCGCCTTCAGCAAGCCGGCGCCACGGGCGGCTTGGCGTACAATCTCGGTCCCAGGCTGGAGCGAGATACAACCGTCTAGCGTGGTTTTTGTTTTCTCTTTGTGCGTTTGTTTGGGAAGCGTTGTGCGCTTGTGATCGAATTTATCAGGAGTATCTCTCGGTGCTTCGGGGTCTGATAGGTAAGGGCTGCCAGTCCCATATCAAAAACACACAAAGCTGGCTCCTGGATGAGCAGCTGGATGTCCACACCCCCTTTTTTTCCAGCTTCCCCTGTGGCAGAGAAACTCGGGGCTTGATCGCTGCGTGCCGAGCTGCGGGTCGCCGCGAAAAAAAAAGGCGGGTTGTGGTGTGAGTTTGTTCTTTACTACACTGTAAGTTTTTTTTTTTTTTTCCAGTCGGCTTTGCTTTGCACAAAGTGTGGTCGCGTAAGGTCTTGTGACATTGACGGCAATGAGCTGATTGTGACCTACACAGCGAGCCTTTGAGACAATGCTCGCAAAGAAATCGCCATCCGAACAAGCTTAACGGGCGCTTTGGAATTTAACTTTTCTCGAAAGTAAAAAATTAAAAAAGAAGAATAAGAGTAAACGTGTGTGTGTGTGTTGGCATTTTTCTTGTTCCCTCTTTGCCTTTTTGCCCTTTGCCTTTGACTTCTTCTTCTTTTGCTCTCTTTTGGCAGCGGTCTCGGTCTCGATATCGGCATCGGCGGGCTGCTTGACGTGTCTTGCTTTGTGTGTGCGTGGTGACTGATCGTTTGTGCTTGGTTTGGGACTTACCTGATCGGGGTCTTGCGGCGACGCCGGAACGTTTTGATTGAAAGCACTGCTGCCTGTGAGGCCACTGATCTCGCCTCGCAGTCGACAACGTGCGCTTGGGCAATCAAGTCCACCCGTCCTCGCAACTGTCATCGAGAACTACTGGCCAAAGGTGAGTCGTTTGGTGCATCAGACAGAGAAGAGCAAAGAGCCCGGTGACCGGCTGCCGTTTTGGAAACGGCGCGCGCCTGTCGAATTCTAGGTTGTCAGACGAGTTGTACTTGGAGGGGGCTCATGAAATTGGTGGTGGCTAGAGAAGCAAGCAAAGCGGTTTGAAGCGGATGGTGAATAGAGAGAGAGATACCGTTATTATGAGTGATGATGGAGAGCAGTTGTACAGTGCGTGTGATTCATCAGATCCACAAGAGGCGCTGCAGCTGTTGACCAGTTGGGACCAACAACGCATTCGAGATGCTGCCCAATACAAAGATAAGGTACGTATGCAGTTTGATATGATGTTGTGTGATATGGGTAACACTTTGAATATGTCACCAAATGGGGTGACGTTCTGGTATAACATGAGACATATACTGCATGTTTGCATCATCCCACAGGATGGCCGTACACCACTGCACAATGCCTGCCTTAAGGGTCATGACAAGGTGGTGGAGATGCTGTTGCAGTACGGTGTTGATACTAAAGCCAAGGACACGGTCAGTACA